ACTAGAAGCAAAGTGGCCAAATGCAAGGAGTTGATTTTGTGCTCGACATGTGTACACAAACTTCAGAAAAAAAAATTCTTGTGGTTCACATGAGGAAATTGTTTTAGGCAATGAGTTAGCCTGCAAACATACCAGATTTTGTTAAAGTCATGGGAAGTATCAAGGATGTAGATGAGGGTGCATACAAATGGTTGCTTGAAAATGAACCAGAGCAATGGTCCAAACATGCGTTTGACACAACAGCAAAGTCAGATCACATAACTAACAACATGAGTGAGTGCTTCAACTCATGACTTGGTGAAGATAGGGAACTTCCTATACTAAGTCTACTGGAACTTTATCGACATAGGGTAATGAAGCGGTTACAATGTAAATTGAAAGCTGGTACAGAGTGGATTACACCTCTTCCACCAGTAGTTCACAGAAAGATAAACAAGATGATTGAGGCAGCTAGAAATATCAAAGTCCGGTACCCTAGATCTGATGAGTTTGAAGTAGATGTAAACCCATGTAAAACTCATGTTCTGGTTTTGGGTAAGCAACTATGTGATTGTGGGATGTGGCAACTATCGGGAATTCCTTGTGTTTATGCTATTGCCTGTTTGTTACACAAAAACATTTCCAACTATGAACATTATGTTGATCCGAAGCTTAGAATTCCGATGTACCTGCAAACTTATGCATACATGGTCCACCTTGTTCCCGACAAGACTAGTTGGCTAGAGATCAGTGATGAATATATTTGGCCACCATACAGGCAGCCCAAGGTTGGCAGACCTTCGAAATCAAGAAGGAGAGATCCAAATGAAGAACCAAAATCTAAAAGGGTCTCTACACTTAGGTGCAGTGTCTACAGTGTTTGAGGGCATAACAAAAGGTCTTGCAAAAAAAATCCAGCAAATGCAGATAAAAGGAAGAAGCAGAAGGTAATAGAAAAAATGTCAATTTCATCATATTTTCTCTTATAATATTGATTTCTATTTTTTTATTTGTAGCGAACCTTTGTGTCCACAATGACTGCACCCTCTTCAGGAGCTCGATTTGTAACAAACTTGTCCCAAGCTTCAAGTTCAATGGGTACTTACAACTATTTTAAACCATATAATATTTATGTCTATTACTTTTTACCTTTGCTAACGTTATTCTTACTTCTCTTAATAGGTCAACCAAGTCAATAATGCAATGGGAAAGTTCTTTTGCTTGCTGTAGTAGTAGGTTGTTTTTGTTTCTATCACTTTTTTTTTTTTTTTTTTGTACTTTGATTATCCTATTCTAACCCACTGTTTCTATACTTTGTTCAGTGTTTCGAACATGTTGCTTAGTCAACTAAATGGTTTTTTTGCCACCTAGACCTCTAACACAACAACTCAAAAGAATAGGTGTGTATTATTACTTAGCTGTAATGTGATATGTTCATGTGCAAGATTATTAGTAGTTGAATTATGGGAATCTAATGAAACACCTAATCTGTTGGAATGGGTAGTAGAGGATTATTTGCAGTTGAGCAAAAGTGTTCCTAGGCGTGTGAATGTTGAGGAAGAATTATGTGAGATAGGTGGGAATTCTTTCATGGAGAGATTCTGAATGGGATAAAAAGGAGTCAGGGAGAATCGCGGAGGATATTCAGAAAAGTGAAGAGTGGAAAATAGGGGAGGATATTCGAAGTATTGCATTGTTTTTATCTCTTTTTGTCTTAATTTTGCTTTGCTGCTCTTTATATGTGTCGTTGGGTTGCATTTTGTTGTTTATTATCCTTGTATTGGCTTACTGGTTGGGTGATTTATTGGTTGTTGGTTGCTATATTTTTCTAGGTTTCTTGGCTGATTACTCTGGTTTATTGGTTGCTGATTACTATTATTGTATGGGTTCTTGTCTAAAAGGGTTACTACAATTTCATTGTTTGGGGTTGAGTATTAGAAGGGTATCACATCTGATTTTTTTTTTTTTTTAAGTTTATGTTTCTTTCAAAAAAAACATAAATTGTTGGAAATTGTTTCGGTTCTTGGCTGATTGCTCTGCTCTTTCTGTTTATTTAAATAGAAGAGAATTAAGGCAAATAATGAGAGCTAAATTAACAAGATTGAATTGTGGAAATATATATATATATATTTATATATAAATGGTGGAGGAGTTTCCTTTGTGTTGGCCTCTAATAAATTACAGAAGAAAAATAATGGTCAAATTGACAAGGATTGCACGATGCGTTCCCATTGTAGTGGATTTACAATGATGATGTTTGTACTAGACACGAGTATATATCTACAGTTTATTACATTGCAATTGTGCCTGTTTTTGCAGCTATGGGTGTGCATTTGTGGATTTGTAGGATGAAGAAGAGGACAATTTTGTGCCTATTTTTGTAGCTATGGGTGTGCATCTGGAAACTGCTCAGTTTTTCAAACCTGATTTGAAGTTTGAAGTTTCAGTTGCATATCACATTTTCATGTACTTAATTCATGGTTTCTGTTTAAACCATGAAGACTTAATTGATACTAAATATCATGTACTGAATTGATGTTAATTATGAAGGCTTTCTTTTAAATTATGAAAAATTTCAATTTTCAGCCACAACTGAGTATATTGATACTGCTTCTGCCAAAACAGGGATAAATTGGTCAATTGTAACATGAGGGCATAATGTAATTCACCATAATGATGTGGGTATTTATGTAATTGAATAAGTTGACTAGTGATAAATTAATAAAAAACTAACATGTCAAACTTCAAAGGGCATTTTAGTCTTTTCACTATTATAAAACGGAAATCTATAACAGTACAAGACGAAAAGTATTTATTTGTCTTTCTCAAACCTTTTGGATACCAACTTGTCATTACGGAAAACCTTGGGTATGTTTAAGTTGTTCCCCCTATATAAAAATTTTGTAAAATGACAAAAATACCCCCACCCACCCACAGCTGCCAGATTCCGGCGATACGGCCAGTCGCGCACCGATTTGGCCTTTTTCAGCTAGATCTATGGCCAAATTTGGCCGTCAGCGATAGCTAAAGATATGGTCGTCGTTGACCATCAAAGATGGCCATCTCTTGGTCGTCGACCATCAAAGATGGCCATCTCTTGGTCGTCATTGACGGCCAGCCAGATCTAGCCGAAAAATGCCAAATCGGTGCATTATAGGCCAGTTCCGACTGGTAGTGTGCTGTTGTGCCAAATTCTGGCCACCTTCCGACGATGGTGGCCAAAAATCTGGCAAATGTGGGTAGTAGGGGTGTTTTTATCAATTTTTAAACTTTTTTTAGGGGTGTTTAGTTAAATTAACAAACTTAGGGGATTTAAAAAATAATTGAATAAAATATAATAGCATTTTTAGAATAGGAAAACAAATATGTATTTTGAAAATGATAAGAATAGGATAGGGGAAGAATATTAAAACAAACGGACCCCATATTTGCCTATTTGTATTTGATTTTCCACCATAATAATTAATAAAATGAAATTAGTTTTTCAAATTGAAAAATTAATATCGATTTGTAGCATGGATTGCTCTCTAAGAAACCCCTTTACCTAGATCAATTACTTGGTTGTTTCACATTTTGATATATAATAAATTTGTACTTTGTGAATATTACATTTTTTTTTTTTTAATGACTGAGGTGTCTGAGCGGCTTGCCCGATGTTCCAAGGTAAGTCACAAATGTGATAGATGATTTGAATTTAGAAAATCAATGAAGGAAGCAAACTTTATTGACCACCAAGCTAATCCCTTGGGGTTGTGAATATTACATTGTCATCCGTTTCAAAGATCAATAAAATGTTAACTACTTATGTAAAAAATAAAATTTGTAATGATTTTAACTAGTACCAAGCATTTTCTCTGTTAACATGAGGCTTATTACATATTATCATGTTTAACATAAAGACCCAGCATGTTATAAAATATTGATTAGTAAATGAGTCATTAATTAATCTTTTTTCTTTTTCATATAAAATAATTAAATATGTGATTATCAGTTTATTACTTCATATCTTTCAATCTTTTTATTTCTTTAATTTTCAGTTATTCAATATCTTTCATTAAACTCTGTATGTATAGAATTAAAATTGCATAGATGTTTCATTTTCTATGTAAAGTTTTAATCTTTAAGCAGAGAGGTTATGTTATGTGCAATGGTTAGATTTCCAAAACCAAATTAAATTATTATTTTGTGTTGTGGCGCTTAGTGGATCAAGGTCCAAGGAGGCCAGATGGTGGCCCGTGGCCTACCCAACTTGGATTGTTATTGTGGACGAACCACGTTGGCATACATGAATTTTGGTATGAGAATCTAAACAAAATGAATCAATACAAATAGGTGGTCGGCTTTAAAAAGTTCAAAAAAAAAAAAAAAAAGGTTAAACTGTAAAAACATTTAAAATTAGGTAAATTTGATTAAAAATAATTACTGTAAAATAATCTTCAAATCAAAACACATTATTAGATAGAAATCGAGAGAGAAAATGTTTGTTGTCTGTTCCATCGCATTTATTATACAGATATTCGAGCCGGGTAGCATTTATAGTACGTAGCTCTCAAAAGAAATCTTTTGCATGATAAAAGTAGGCACGTATATTAATTACACTCTTCATATGAACATGAAAGAGTTGTTAATAAAAACAAATCTAGGTTCCTAGAACTGTGCTTATCAGAAATATAATGTTTGATCCCATAGTTCTCTTCTTGGTTGCCTCATCACCGAAAATATCGTATCGTATCGTATTTTATATATATAGACAAAGAAGAGAAAAGAAAATGAGATAGCCATAACTAGAAGTGAAGACGAAGACAAAGACAAAGAATGCTCTTATCTAGAATTCAATCAATCCCTGCTGCCTGCCAACCTTGTTCACTCTATATTGATTGTACATTTTTTTGTCTTTTTTTATTGAGGATGAGCCCATAAATTATCAAAAAAAAACAAAATTTTAATTTCCTTCTACGACAGCGTAACCACCACGTCTTTTAGATTAACTACTTAATGTTTTTTTTAACACATCCAATACATTAATTCTCTCCATCAAATACCTCCATACACAACCCAACCTTGATTCTCCTTTCTAAATTCTTCGCCGTCGGCATACGCAAACACTCAACTAACATGAGAGAAATTCAAGGAGACTACCTTCCGCCACAGCCACCGCCACCGGCACCGCCACCACCGTCTCACCCTCCAAAATCAAACCTGCCCATGTTATACTACGGCCTAGTGGTGGTGGGCACGGCGGCTTTAGTTCTTGTGATATATAATCTTATCATAATAAAGTGGTGCACGCGTCGTCAAAGCCGGTCAGAGCAGACACCTAACCGGTATATAGAAGCTACAACGGCAAGTCAGAGTTTTGAAAACATAAACAGGAACTTCTTGTCGAGTTTCAAGTATAAGAAGGATATAAATATCAACATGGGAGGTGAAGAGGAAGGTGGGGAGTATGAATGCCCAGTTTGTTTATCAATATTTGAAGAAGGAGAGGAGGTGAGACAACTGCCAAGATGCAAACATTCATTTCATGCACCTTGTATAGATATGTGGCTTTATTCTCACTTCGATTGCCCACTTTGCCGTGCTCCGGTGGAGCTGCGCTACAATCATCGGCATACGATGTCAGATACACCAGAGCATTCAAGGGAAGGTTTGCTCTAGATTCAGGCATGATTTTATTTATTTATTTATTTATTTATTTTTGTTGATAATTTGATATCCTCCAAGTCTTGATGTCATTTAGAGTCGTGGGATTGGTGAATTAGGACGATGATAACGAAGAGAATTGATGGAAGAATAGCTATGAGGAAGATGTAGATTTGTTTTATGTTTAAACCGGGGCCAGAACCAGCCACTTGGTCCATTTTGTATATAAAAGTCAAATTTTTGGTGCACAACTTGGCCTTCACAACAGTAATTTTTACTGTTAATGTTACAATTTATTCAAAATTGAAGGATGAAATTCATATAATATTGAGTTCAAGGGAAAATGATGGGACCATTATCATATCATTAATATACATATAACTTTATTATTTGTAGGTCTTCTATACAATACAAATTCAGCCCTAATAAAGTTATAAAGTGTGTTTGACATGCAGTATTGTATAACATTAAGTAAATCTCATGTACTAAATTAGTGTAATACAATGTTTGGTAAAAAAATTACACTTCTTTACAAATTATAAATCTGTTAATATTTGACCCAAGTGACATTAAAACATGATTGCTTACTTGCTTTAACATTATATTAATAGTATACCATAATTGATAAAGTTTTTAAATTTGACATTGCAACTAGGGGTGTTTCAAATATTTTGAATCAAGCTATTTTTCTAGTTAACCAAACTGGTTACGAGGAAAACCGATTTTCAGTCGAACTGTTTTTTTGGTTAATTGATTTTGAACCGGTTTAAAAATATTTTGAAAATAAAAATCAAAATCAAACACCTTGGTATTTTATGAAAATCTTAAAGAAAAAAAAAAAGATTAAAGAAGAAAATCTATAATTGAACATTTTACTGTTGATAAAGAAAAGGTCAAAAAGAAGTAGTTAATTATGGGGATCAACTTCAACAACCTTTTCATAAGCACTCCTTGCACGAGAAGCCATTAAAATACAAAAAATTAAGTAATACATACATTAACCAAAGTGTAAGCAATTTCAATAAATTTATCCTTTTTAATTATGATTTGATTTGAGAGGAGCCAGTATGTTGAAGAGTCATGAAAAGAAACTTCTTTTGGTTTCTAGACTGTATTTTTTATTCCTAAAATAAATTAAAATGGGATTGTTTAACTTTTATATAAAACAAGCTAGGATTAATGAAATGGTATTAGATGCTTCGATGAGTAATAATTACATTCATATTTATTCATGTCTCTCTTCCTATACTGGGAATTTTTTTTTTTTTTTAAATGGATGCATATGTAATAGGATTAATTTTACTAGACAATAAATAACTTAATACACAAATTTACTCGTGCTTAATACAGTAAAAGTTATTAAAACGTAGAATTTCGACATTTATTTATCCTTATGCCAAAAATCTGTAAAAATTTATTGAAACGTAAACATGTACTTATTGTTATAATAAAATACCGTAAAAAAGTATAGAAACATAGAATTTTGACATCGACTTATCCTTATACTAAAATACCGTAAAAATTTATTTTTACGTATATATTGGGATGTTATTAGAAAATAGAGGTGATAATCCAATTCATAGAATTTTGAAGTGCACCTAGGGTACTGAGTACCATCTTCAATCTAGAAGTTTTTTTCTTTTTTTTTTTTTTTGATGATCAAGGATGTTCAAGTTAACTTACGCGCATCTCAATTAATCTTTCAGGACTCTGAAATTATTGGTCGGGTACAAGCTCCAGTGGTCACCCCTATTAACAACTGTGGAGACTCGAACTCGGGAGATCATATTAGATCCTCCTCTTACTCTTTTACCCTCAAGGGGCCACCTATTGGAAAACCATATTAGATCATCTTCTTGCTCTTTTATCATCAAGAGGACTCGAACCTATGAACCATGTTAGATCTTTTTTTACTCTTTTAACATCATGTCACTAAGTGGTGGTTTCCAATGTAGAAGTTTTTACACTATTCTTCACTGATCCATAATTAATTTATTCAAAAAATCATTTTTGTTTCCTCCACCATTTCAATTTACACTCTATTTTCATTTGTTTTTGGTGATAGAGATATAGAGATGACTATTAATATAGATAAAAGCTTAAAGGGACAAGTCGTTAATATAACTTATTGTAAAGCAAAATATTTTATTGTGAATCTGTGATGTCCTGAATGCATATTTAACTTATCTCTACATGAACCTAAATCATTATTTGATTCAAGCACCATCATACAATTTTATTTTTTCTAATAATAAAATTCAAAGTTTTCGTATTAGATATTTAATGTCACTCTTTTTATAGAAGTTAGCGCAATTAAAATTGAGGCATACTGCTATATTTTAAACTCATGCTAATTTAGATTTGGGCAAAAATACACTTACAACCCAAATATAACAACTCGCGATTGGTCAGCTCGTAATGGATCTCGTTGTCCAATAATGAGTCATGTTGCCCAATTGTAAGCTGACATAATGGGTTTTGTCTTCCCAATTATAAGCTGACTAATTGCTAGTTAACACGTCATAATTATGAGAAAAAATTTATAAGATTGAGTTGTAAGTCAATCCTTGTTGTTTAGATTTTGGATTCGCTTATGGATTCTCTGTCAACAAAATACTTTTAGTTAAAGAGGAATGGTTTTTCATACAAACCGTCTTTCTGTTAAAACTAACATTTGTTTCTTGCTGTAACACCTAACTAATTAACAACTATGATAATTTCCTCGAAACGAAGAACAAATTAAATTTATTTTTAGCATATTCTTTAACTAACATTTCACAACCTCAAATTGTTCAAAAGATGGAGGTTGACTGGAGGGAAGCTAGAGAACCTTATAAATAGAGAGAGTCTCTTGTGAAAATTAATAATGCAATCAAAGCAAAAGCAAAAGCAAAGACATAATACTATGGTAACCATTTACAAACTGTTGTGTTTTCTTTCTCTTTTGTTCGTTTCGGGGTATGCAGACGAATTTCTCAATGTCCCCATTGGATTAACTAATTTTAATGGCCAATGGGAGTTGGTATCTGAAAACTCCGGTGTCTCAGCCATGCATGCAATCTTGCTTCCAAAACTAAACAAAGTTTTGATGTATGATGCCACTGTTTGGAGGACATCAAAGATTCCATTGCCTCCTGAAAAGATGCCTTGTCGTATTGCGAACGAGGAGACTGGTGAACTAGACTGTTGGTGTCATTCAGTCTTATATGATTATGAAACAGCAAAATTGACAGCTCTCAAGGTACTTAAATGAATAATGAATTTGATTTGATTTTTTTTGGTTTCCTTATTTTGGCTAAACGGTGTAATGGTTGTGTGACACAGATTGAGCACGACACATGGTGCTCATCAGGAGGCCTCACAGTGGACGGAAACTTGGTTGGCACTGGAGGTAATGGAAAAGGAGCCAACACTGTTAGATACCTCTCCACATGCGAAAAATGTGACTGGAGAGAATACCCAGCATCACTTGCAGATCCTCGATGGTATATTCATCTATACACTTCCATAATTGATTTTTTTTTTTTTTTTCTAAAATTTATTTCTTGGAAATAATTTTTGTTTGATGGCCGTAGGTATTCAACACAAGTAACCTTACCTAATGGTGGATTCATGGTGTTTGGTGGGCGTGGTGCCTTGAGTTACGAATACATTCCAACAGAAGGACAAACCAATAAGAACCCCACCTTCTTCCCTTTGCTTCAACAAACTCGGGATCTGCTCAATGCTCAAACACCTTTTGTGATAGAGAATAACTTATACCCTTTTGTCCACCTCTCCCCCGATGGCAATCTCTTCATTTTCTCGAACAACCGATCAATCTTGCTCGACCCTAAAATTAACACAGTTGTCCGTGAGTTCCCAGTTCTCCCTGGTGGCTCCCGCAATTACCCTGCATCGGGAATGTCTGTTCTCCTCCCTTTAAGACTCAAACTTGGCTCGCTTAAGAAGACCAACGCTGAAGTCTTGGTTTGCGGTGGCGCACCTTGGGATTCATTTTATTACGCTGAGACTCAAAAGAAATTCTTGCCTGCATTACAAGATTGCGGAAGAATACAAATCAACGAGCCCAATTCAGTTTGGAAGATAGAAAAGATGCCATCACCTCGTGTAATGGGGGATATGATGATTCTTCCAAACGCAGATGTACTAATGCTTAATGGTGCAAAAACAGGTACTTCAGCATGGAATGATGCAGAGGACCCTAATTTCGCCCCTGTTTTATACATGCCTAAAGGACTAAGTGGCCAAAGGTTCAAGGAGTTAGCCCCTTCAACCATTCCGAGAATGTACCATTCATCAGCCGTGATGCTACCAGACGGAAAAGTTCTTGTAGCAGGCAGCAATACTCATGATGGATACGACTTTAATGCCAAGTATCCCACGGAGCTTAGGGTTGAGAAATTTTCCCCACCTTACTTGGATCCATCGTTGGCTGGACTAAGACAACAGATAGTGGATGAGTTGTTAGACAAGGTGATAAGCTATGACAAACAGTTGTCGGTGAAGGTTAGGTCAAATGAGCCCATACTTAATAAGAATGAAGTAAAAGTTACAATGTACGCACCAGCTTTCACAACGCATGGTATCTCAATGAATCAAAGGCTCCTTATATTAGGTTTGGTGGATGTGGATAGCAACGCTTGGATTCAGTCAAGAGTTCACAACCTTATAGTTAAAGCACCTAGGTCGGGTGAAGTAGCTCCCCCTGGGTATTATCTTCTCTCCGTCGTTTACAAAGGAGTTCCAAGCTCTTCCATATGGGTTCAAATCAAGTAGATCATTACACCTAGTGCTATAAAAATAATTACGTTTGTTCGTCTGTCTTACTATATTTTTCCATACAAATTCTTTGCTTTTGTAGTTATATCTAATGAAATTTAATATTCATCGGTCGGACAGATAAGTGCATCTCCTTTAACTGATTTCAAACCCAAATTTCTTTTCATTGCGAACAAGACATGTAGAGAAGGTTAATGGGAAAAAATTAACTCTCTAAAATAAGTTGAACTACATAAAGTCCTTGCCTATATACAGGGTGGTGTAAAATGTCTCGAAGATAACGAACAGAGATCATGTTCTTAAAACAAGACTTATCTCTTGATTTTTGGGTGAAACTATAAATACAATGTTAGGCCAAAATTAATTAAAAATACACCTTTCATTTCAATGAGATTCTTCAATAAATTAAGTTGACAGATATTTTTTATTTTTTACTATACTCTGCATTTTAGAATTTTTTTTTAATATATTGCTTTTAATTTTTTAACTTATATAGTTATACATTTTTTTTTTGGGGGGGGGGGGGGGGGGGGGGGGGTGTGTTTACAGCGCAAAATGTCCTTAGAGGAGAATTTTTAAAAGTGTCTTTTAACAATCGATTCCTCAAAATTGTGTCCTCTAAATGTATATTTCTAAAGAAGTGTACTCTAGATGATAATATCCCTTTATTGAATTAAAAGAGTGATTGTTGTTTTTCAAATGACTCTCGTTAGACTAAAATTAACAAAAATGTGCGTAGAAATATTGATAATGGCTACATCTTTTGCCGTGAAATGGCCATAAAAATACCAGATCTCACCCTTTTTATTGAAAAACGTCTTACCGACACACGACCAGCCAGATCCCTCCGGTCATACATCATTACAGCAACTGATGTCGGCAACTTGCGGTAGTGAGTCACAACTGGCAGTGATCTTGGATGACTAGAGATATTTTGTTAAATTTTAAACTTTTTTGTGACTAGAATATTTTAGCTAATTTCTCATATGTAGGAGGGCTGAGCTAATTGTTATTTAGTAGACGTTTAAGGGCAATTGTGTCCGAAATGGTTTTTAATTAAAGACAAAATAGGTAGAAAAATCAGATTACCCTAATAATGTTTTAATCCCAGGGGTGGGAGAGGGTATCAAATTACCTTTCACATTACCAACAATAAACACTATATTTGCAATAAAATATTCCCGTAATACTTTATTACTTGTAAATCAAACACCGAAACCTTGTAAAATAAATAAAGATTATTCTTATTATCTTATATACCCCCTATCCAAACGCTCCCTAAATGCAATATGATAGTTTTCTGATATGCATTTATGCATACACAAAATAATGCAATATAAAACCCATTTAAGTACTTAATTGGAGCTTAACCCGTTAAGAGCTCAATTACTTGGCTAATGGAAACATGTATTGTTGGCATATAAACGCATTCGTATAGAGGTTTTTCATATGCATGCACAATTTTACAGTAAAAATAATATCATTAAAATCTCCATTTGTCTCAAACCCCGAGTCAACAAATTCTGGCAGAATTTTCACAAATATTACATGCCCCAAATGAACTCTCACATTTGAGCTGGTATCTATATTGTACAATAGACATATTACATTCTTCTTAAATTGTCTAACCTTGCCTGCAACTCACTATCTATCCCACTGTCATCATTTGCTGCTGTTTCCGCTTGTGCAACCTTGCCCTTTGCAGCAGGTGCCGCAACGGCAGAAGATGGAGCATTCACAAGCTGCATTAATTACAACATCAAAATCATTGTTATTGCAGCTCAACACATTAATTTCAATAAAAGATAAATCAACGATGGCGAATACACCATCTGGAAGGCAGTATATAAAGTATGTTAATACCTCTTGATTGATGTCGATTCCAATCTCATCAAGAACCTGATTCACCAGTTCTTCTGTTTCTTCCTCTTCCTCATCTCCTTCTAAAGCATCATCAATCGCATCACCCATGACCTCAGTCACCATTTCCATCTTCTCATTTTGTTTCTCAAATTCTTGCATAATTTTCTGCAGTGATGGCAAGTTCATCTGCCTATTCATTTGGCCCATTGCTTTTGTCACACCTTTCATTGCCTCTCCCATTGCTTGTGTTGATTTCAATGTCTATCACCCAACCAAAAGAATTTCCAATTTTAATACACAGTTGGACAACAGCAAACAATTCGTAGGTTTTGCAAAGTAAAAGAGTGCAATATTAAAGCTCATAACTGAAATACACACACTAGTTAATTAGAATCAACTATATATGAATCCCTATCTGCAATTCTGAGTCAATTAGCACCTTTTTGAAAAAGATAATTATTAGAAATCTGTAATAAGAACCAATAGCAAGTAATTTGAATTGTCATGGTGGAAGATACCAAGGCAAATAAAATAAATAACTATGGTGACTATCATACTTAATTTAAATTGCAATAATATAGCATAGCCAGGACAATAACATAAAAAACAATGAAACAAATTTGTACTTACAGAATAAAGAAAAACAAAACCTGTTTCACAGTGGCTGATGGGTTGCAAATAAATTTCAAATGCCCGATTAAGTAAAAAGATAATATCTGGTAACTAGCATGGATCGCCCCTGAATCTATTCAGAGTCCTCCATCATCCAAGGAATAATGATGCCATAACTCACCTAAATAGCTTTGCAAGCAAGTGCCTCTCAAATAGGGGAGGCAAATAATTATAAATTTTGTAGTTACAGCAACATTATCAGACTGAGGTCAAGCAAATTTGTAATCTTTCAACTTCATAGAAATGTCCAATCATTATAATATACTTTAGCATTAACAAAAAAACTTGTCACTTTTTCTAAAATTAATATAATTAGCTGCCGATGTCGGGTTTCTCAAAAAATCACTTAATTTTTTGCTACTTCCATCTTTATTACACTGTAACAACATTTAGGAGAAAAATACATACACCAGGCCTAAAGAAGTTGACAAATGAAAAACTGCAAAAGGATGAGTTTATGATATAAGTGAGAATGCATAAGTAATAGGGAGCAAAATATACCTGAATTCTAAGAGATACACCCTGGAGTTGTGACTTAAGCTTGTAAAATTTTTCAATTTGATGACGTGTTCTAATAAGGTCTTTTGCCATCACCTTCACAGCTCCCTGGGAAAAAAATTACAGCAAATGCAAATACATCCATGAGAGGCAGGTACCATAGCCATGTTGCATTTGCACGTACTAGTATATATGCATACATCATGTCAAATCACTTTGTAATTTTGATTACCACAATTAACCCAAGATTCATTTTCAAAGCTTACAATCATTCACAAATCAAGAACCATACTCAAACATGCAAAGCATTGGCCCACTTCTTGTCAATAGAAGCATGTAAAATCAATATATAAATTCTTAAAAAAAGGCATTGAATCCTCCAATTTATCGACAAAAATTTATGTAAGTTTAATAAACTTCAAAACCCACCTTACCATTATTCTAGTCATATTAACTTTATGCATCACTCAACGGTGAATATGTTACAATACAAGATAAAGGAAGTGTCAAGGAAAACAAATTACATGTTGCAACTAACCTGATACAATAAAGATACATAAACAGCTCATGCAACAATAGTGCCAAATTTATGACCTGACACAATGGTCAAAAAGGTTTTGTTTTGTGTAAACAATTTTTCAAGGAATGAAAAGATTTACAAAGATGTTCTACCAATGCAGAGACTAAAAATAACAGTTGGCAAATTGTATACCTGATTATTCACCCCAATAAGAGAGCAATCAGCACTCTATTTTGACATTCATACACAAAAACTAAGATATGAAGTAAACATTCTAAATGTTAAATCTACACCATAATAAGCCATATTTTTGGTTGTCATTATGTTCAGACTTCAATTAATCAAACCCAAAACCTATAAACTTAAGATTTGTGAGCGGCAGTTACATGAAAAACACAATGCAAGAAATACAGTGAGAACAAGTTCTTAAAGAGTTAATCTCATCCAGATGATCAGCATACAACAACTAAAACACTTACACTGTGCAATTCAAAACATGCTACCAGCAGAGATAAACAATTAAATATTGTACATGATACCAATTAAATAAATAATTAAGAAGAGAGTAATAAAAACGCACCATCTGTCCTTGTTTGGCACTTTTCTTAATCTCTGTAATAAGTTTCTTCTCTTGCGTTTGTAGACCTTGTCTTTCCCTCTCTATTTCTCTTATAGATTTATCCAACATCCTCTTATTCTCCCGCAGAAGTTCTAAAAACGACAATCCCCATTAGCTTAAGAACGACACATGATATCATCCGACATAAAATAAGCAATTCATACAATTTCTCCATCGTAATACAAAACTAGACAAATAATAACGAAATAGACCAACATTAATTAGAACCAACTAGGATTGAACAAAGAAACGAACCTGCAGGGGTTTTCTTTTTGCCGAAGAGGAAACTCATGATGATGATGATGATCAAACCACAAAATTACTAACCAAACAAATCCGATGATCTCGATCTCGATCTGAAGACGTACAGCCTCGCTCTCTAGATTTCAACTCTATTGACGAGAATAATTCTTAAAGGTTTTGATCCTCTGAACAGAACAGGCTGCTTACGCGGTATGGTAATATGGTGTAGTAGTTAAGGAATGAAAATTTTAAAATATCCCATTTTGGTTTTACACGTCAGTGGCCTTAGCCTATCTCCCCATTTTAATTTTTTTAGTCTATTCAGGACTTTTTGTTGAACATTCGGGCTTCCATTGGGGCCCAAATATAGCTGTGTGGCTACCCAATATTTGCTTAGTTTGAGCCCATCGATATTTTGCTTCGTTTTAGCCCATTTATAGTAGCCGGAAATGCAGGAACCCTTTACCTGCAAATTTCTTAGTATTTTTCTTTTTTTTCTATTTTCGATAAATATTTTGGGGTTCAGGTTTTTTTGCACAGCTCTAACTAGAATGATAGTTTTCTTTGTCTTGTAATACTGCT